CACAGCCACAACATCGTATGTTGTATGTCAAACAGCCGGTAACGGCTCCTCACAACGGACGGGTTTTTTCTGCCCGTGCCCACGCGAGCAGAAAAAAAAGCTGTTTTTAATTACGGCAACCCGCCCATGTGAGTTTGCCGTCCGTACGTTTTTTTTCGCAATGGGCGGACGGCAAGCGGTTAAAAGAAACTGAAAAGTTGATTATACTAGAGATCAGGGGGTTTGCTTTCACTTTAGGACGCATTCACACGTTAGGACGCATTTATTTCTTTACATTTTGTAACAATATTCTGTTACTTTGTTTTCATTCGGGATACAGGTCCAGAATGTCAACAAAAAGCAGAGAAGCCAGAGAACGGTAAATTACAGATCTCCCGCTTCTGTGTTTCGTTCCAAATGAAATTCTGAGGTATCCAAATTTCGTTAGCAAACATTCTGATATGTTCAGATTAGTTATATCTGTCATTCGGAAATTCGGATGCATCCAAATGTCTGAATTTACAGAAATTCGTATGAACGTGTCTAGTGCTTTCATTTAGTGCATGAGGTGCGTGTTTTTGCTCTGATTTTTTTCTTGCTATTCCTGCACATTCTCTGACTACATGTGCTCTGTCAGTGCTTTCATTGTTCTGTGTACATCAATGCTGGCCACACAGTAGGCCCTCATGGATTTCTACGGGGCCATATTCTGAGGCTGCATACACTTAGGATATGGTCCTAGGAGTCTATGAGCATCCATTGCACAGGTAGCAGGAAGGAAGACTGGGTTGGAAGAGGGTCGGATACTTTGTTTGAGGTTGTAAGCCAGCGAAATAAGTGTACTTTGTGTAAGTTTCTGACATGCTTCAATCCTCACGTCTGCCACCAGGAGTCCCATTCTAATATTTGGATCTTCTTGACAACTGATCTTGACTGCATGCTTTATGTATTGAGCCAAGGCATTATAATCTGATGCTTCATGTCACTGTGCTCATGGACCTAAGTGCTTACTAAATGTATTTGGACTAGGGATGCTAGGGACTAGGGACCAGGGACCAGTATTTCGGTATCGAGTACAAGTACCAATATTTATATTTCGGTACTCGCAGATGTCAAGTACCGATGCCGGTACTTCTGCTAGCATGGAGCCAGCTTCCTGGGCAATCAGGAAGCCGGGTGGCAGGTAAAGACACACCGCCTGGCTGCCTGTTTGCCCAGGAAGCCGGCTCCATGATTTTTGAGCAGATTCGATACTGATTGGCCAGGAAACGAGCTTCCCAGCCAATCAGCATGGAGCTGGCTTCCCGGCCAATCAGGAAGCTGGGTGGCGGGGGTCGGATGGTGGGTAATGACCCACCTCCCAGGTTCCTGATTGGCCAGGAAGCTGGCTCCATGCTGTCTAACTGGATCGAAGGTCATTGGCCGGGAAGCCGGCTTCCCAGCCAATCAGCATCGAGCCGGCCTTGCGGTCAATCAGGAAGCCAGGAGGCGGGTCATTACACACCGTCCGGCTTCCTGATTGGCCGGGAAGCCGGCTCCATGCTGTTTGGCCAGCTCCATGCTGATTGACTGGGAAGCCAGCTTTCCAGCCAATCAACATCGAGCCGGCCAAACAGCAAGCCGGGCGGCGAGTCATTACCCGCCGTCCGGCCTCCTGACTGGCCAGGAAGCCGGCTCCATGTTCTCTCGAGGCACTGCCAGTCAGAGGAAATATCCTTTTGACTGGAAGTTCTGGTATCTGAGTACTGAGTACTGAGTACGAGTACTCGCCCAAATACTCGCTATCGGCACCGATACTAGAATCGGTGCATCCCTAATTTGAACCCCCCCTTAAGAAAGCTTTCTGGGGGCATGTGGAAACATCAGATGACCATCAAGGTAAGTTT